CTGGACTATATAAAGGGTAGCATACCATCAAGATTGAAGAAGGATTCATTAACATACTGATCTACAGATGACAGAGTTAAGGTTCTTAAATTATACTTCATTAAAAAGAAAACAAAAATTCCCCATAATGGGCTGATTAGCAACATCGTGATAAGCAGAGAAAATATTGAAGTTGTCGAGATTTTCATTTCATTTGGATCCACAATCAACACCCATAGAAGCAGGAGTCAAGAAATCTGTACATTGCGTTGGGCAAACCTTAATGTGCTAAAGAACCAGAAAGCCACTTTGAAGGCTAAAGTGGACATGCTCCAAGCCTTGATATTTTCATTTGCCTCATATGAATACAAAAGCTGGACAGTAACAAAGAAGACTAAAGAAAAATTGATGTATTTCAGTTATGGTGTGAGTGAAGCATATTAAATGGACCAAATCTGTCTTGGAAGAAATACAACCATAATGTTCCTAAGATGTGAGGATGATGGACTTGTCGCTTATATTCGGGCCAGTCCCTGTAGAAAGACATCAAGTTTGGTCAAGAGTCAGAGAAAAAGAGGAAGAACCCCACACAGGTGGTTTGACGCAGTGGCTCCACCAGTGGGCACAGCTGCGGCTGGGGGGCGGTCCAAGATCAGGCAGGGTTTCGCCCTGTTATAACACAGGGTCACCACATGTCAGAGTTGACCTGACGGCACCTAATGACTGCCTTTACAAGTACCCTGTATTGTCACCAACTGTGAAATCTAACCCCAAACCCCTCACAACTCCGAAGCAGGATGCCCAGGTCTAACAGGCCCGGAGCCCTCATTCCTGTACTGCAGGTGCTAGTGTCTTCCCCAGGCACTCCCAATGCAAAACCCCTCCTTGATCTACTGTTCCAGTGTACTGTATCATTGCACCTAACCCAGCCTCTCCTTTCCATGTTAAGCCTTTCAGGTTCTCCCCAACCCCCTTTCCCAAGTTAAAACTCCCATTTTGCAAGTGAATCCCTGAAAATGTAGAAAAGCAAGCTGATTAGGTATCTTCTCTCAGAGGAATGCTTGCTCTTTTGGATTCCCTCACTGGTTTCATTTCAGACTGTGAGAGAGATCATTGTGGTAGTTGAGTTTTTTTGAGTTATATACCCCAGATTATATCCTAGAGAAGGCAGGAACATAAATGTCCTCTGGGGATTTGTTTTCGGCCTCTGACTGTATCTGTCCTGTGAAAATTGGCCACTGTGTTTCCCCTCTCCTGCCAGCTTCTTGTGTGTGGCCTACAATCAGGCCGTCTCATCAGTTCCTCATCCCTCCTGACTCCTTGTGCCACAGAGAACAGACAGGCAGAGAATAGTGCCTGCTCTGCCAGCGTGAGGACTGAGGATCCCTACAATGTTGGTTCATGTTGTTTTTGTTGTTATATACCATAGAGGTGGAACTGACCTGTAGCTGACCCTCCAAAGAGTTTTCAGAGTTAATCATTTGAGAGAAAATTGTCATCTTTCTCTTGTGGAGCAGCAGGTGGATTTGAACCACATATCCTTGGGTTGCCAGCATAACTCCTTACCACTAGACCACCAGAGCTTCATGGGCAAATACCACCTACAGGCTTCAGTCCAACTCTCTTTGGACAGGGATTTTCAGAGGAGCCTCCAGACAACTTCTTGTTCTAGCATATTCCTGATCTGTCTACTCTGCTGTGGCATTTGCTTTGATATTTCTTATTATTATATGCTCTCTGTAAAGGTAGCAAAATAGTAAAGATGTATGTCCTTCTATTCAGTATATTTCTTGAGCCCTTTGGTGAACTTTAGAACATGACAGGACTGGGGATATCAATGAGAACAAGGCACTGAATGGTCCCTGTCCTCCTGAGGCTTAGAGTGTAGGGAGGAGGGCAGACCCTTACGTAACTGTCACAGGCTGCAACAAGCTTGACACAGATGCTAATAGTGTGCTGTAGGAATCGGGTATGAACAGATTAACAGCAACTGAAAAGGTGAGATTGGAACTGCTCATAAGTTAAAAAAATAATAATAATAGCATTTCATTTCATATGTGAGTCTCACAGGGATTGGTTGTGCAGTACGCAGTGGTCCTCCACAGGAAAAGACTTTGAACACCGTTTGGAGTCCCTGCAGGCTGTTGAGTGCAGGAACTTGATGGCCCTTGCTTCCCACTGTGCTTGCTTTGCATGCAGAACCATTTGCTATCTTCAGTACTTGAGTTTTCTGGTACAAGGTTATTTGATTGATTTTTGAGTGTTGAAAGCATAAAAATATTTTCCTACTGAATAATTATTGGAAGTATTTTTCCATTTTACACCAACACATTTTTTAAATGAAATTTGAGTAATGTGACTGGCTTAGAAATGGTATAAGTAGAATCAGAATATAAAACCTTTAGAGATTTGGAAACAACAAGGACAGGAAAATTCTTTTGTGGTTAGAAATGATACTTATCTGATAATATTGGTTTCCACAAAAATCTTTCCATTGAGTCCTTTTGCTAAAGGGAAAAAACTTGGTAGAAAGTTAGAAACCTTTTTTTTTAAAAAATACTCCTAAAATGTTCCATTTGGGGGTTGTGGGGTATTTTGGGTGGTTTTTTTTCTTCTTCTTCATTTTAATGGCACATGTAACAGACATCATGTTTTAAGTGTCTGGAAAGTTCCACATTTCTGAGGGATAATTAGAGTGAAGGAGTAATTTTCCTAAGGTTGGTGACTTTGAAATACCAGCTGCTTTCTCTGTGGGTGAGGCAGAGACGTTGGCTCCCACTGGGCTCCCCGACTGGCGAATGCAGCCTCACTGAGGGAGAGCGAGGCCCCTCCTGGGTGGGCAGAACCTGGCCTCACAAACCATTCCACGTGGGTGATCTTTCAAGTCTGTTTGGAATGACAAAGTTTGAGCTCAACTCATCTGTTGAAAATGGAGACTCTTTTGAAACATTCACTGAAAGAAGGTGCAATGCAGTGAGTCTCCATTCATGTAAACAGCCAGTGCTGAATCTGATAGCTGCCGCTAATTACATGTGTGGCTTTAAACAGTGGGCATGTCGTTTGAAAGAACTCTATCCCACTCCCTGGGCTGTGGGAGATGGAAGTGGGTTAGTTAACCTCACTGTGAACTCAACCTGCTCATCTGTAAAACTGGGGTAAGAGTTAGTTGGAGCTGTATGAAATTACCAGTGTCCAACCATTTCCACCTAAATGGCAGTTTCATTTGTTTCTTACCTTGCAAGGTAAGTACTGGGTCATTACGTGTAAAAAATTAAATAAAAAATAAAAAAAAAAACAAAACAACAAACCAGGAGGTCTCATTCAGTTGCCATACTTCTTGCCTTCTCAGTTTTTTCTCTAGGATATAATCTTTATAATTTAAAGGAAAGTTAACCACTAAAATGATTTGCCTCACAGCCTGCAGTGAGACCAGTCATTGAGATTACCCTACAGACTCCCAGAAGGCTAGGGAGCGGGATTCCCCTCAGGGAATAACAATCTCTGTCCAGTTGTCATCTGATAGTATAGGATACACAGGTTTGGATCAGGTCATTCTGTTTAACTCTATTGTTGTTTACTTACTTTGTGACCTGGGGCAAGTGGCTTATATTTCCTGAGCTTCAGTTCCCTCATTAATCATTGAAGATGAACTATAATAATGAAGATGACTTGAGTGAAAGTAACACTACCTGCTTCCTAAGTGTTGTGAGACAGATGAAATAATGTCTGTGAGGTTTCTAGTGAAGAGCCCTGACTCACCGTCGGCACTTGGTGAATGCTGGTTTCCTTTCCCCGTAAGTGCACTCTTCTGAGTCTTTCAGATAAAACTGAGATGAACCACTATGTTAACCTAAGTTACCCACTTCCTGAAGCCAAAGCCTTGTCCCCCTTCATATCTCCCCACCCCCATTCTGATCAGTTTCTCCTGTGTGATTCACTGCCTCTGAAAAAACCTCCTGGAATGCAACTAAGGATCTGAAACAGCATGTTGGAATGGAGGAGAAGAGACGATAAATCTGCGTAAATAAGTAAATGATCCCCCTAAAATAAGATTTGATTGGGCATTATATTTCATTAATTACTTTCACCAATTGTAATTCATGTAAAACAAAACAAATCTGTGAATAATTGAATGAAAGCCCAAAGTGTCAATGAATGGTTGAATGTGAATCCAATACAACTTGAAAACTTTCACTTAAATGATATTTTTAAAAACAAAAGTATTTTTAAAAATTTAAAACAAACAAACAAACAAAACACCCTCCTGGAAGGTCAGATATTAGTTAGTTCCCACTCAGCAGTGGAGCTCTGGTGGCCTGGTGGTAAGAAACTGCACTGCAATCCTCAAGGCATGCAGTTTGAGTCCACGAGCTGCTCCAAGGGAGAAAGACAGTCTCCTCCCATTCATTGTCTGTAAAAAAGCTTATTGAAGATCAGCTATGGGTCAAGTCCGTGGTACACAACCACCATAAGTCAGCTGTACATAACAGCAACAACATTTCTTAAAATTGTATTTTCTAAAGAAACAGGAAGAAACTTTAGAGATCATTTTTTTTCAATCCCTTTATTTCTTATGGAAAGGATTAATGCCCAAAGACACAGACGTGAGGAACACACCTGGCCGCGCCCACATCAGGCCTCCTGGCTTGTTGGTTAGAGTTCTTCCCAGGGGAACAAGTGTCTTTTCATATGTTTTAACTCAACTAAGGGAACAAAAAGGTATTAGCAGATAATAGCTGTATAACATTTATCAGCATTGGGCTTCAAGATAAAAACATAGCAAAGGGTAATAAGAAAACGTTGTGCACACATGCACGTAAATTTAATGAGAAGAAAGTATAGAGAATACAGGAGACAGAGGAAATAGGTTCTTTTCCTCTCCCAAAGTTATTTGGTATAAAAAAAATTGTAGCATATGGTGTTTGTCCAAGTCCCTAGTCCGTTGTTTTTAAATATTAAAATGTGGCATTTAGCTTGAGATTGTAGCAATCAAACAGCTTTCAAAACACCCTTTCTTCTAGGTCCTTTGGACCCCTCGGGTGCTGTCCAATGGTGTGGAGTTCTCACGAGTCAGTCCAGATGGCGAGGAGGGCTACCCTGGAGAGCTGAAGGTCTGGGTGACCTACACGCTGGACGGCGGGGAGCTCATGGTCAACTATAGAGCACAGACCAGTCGGACCACACCAGTCAATCTGACCAACCATTCTTATTTCAACCTGGCAGGTCAGGTAAGTGAACGTGCTTCTTCTGTCCTGCTAGAATCCACATGCGTGATAGAATGACCAACCCATGTGACAATGATGAAGAATGTTCAGCAGAGCTTCTGGGTTGTGGGAAGTGCTCAGCTAAGGGAAGTCATGGAGGAACGTAGGTCAAGCACACTATGCTACCAAGAATATGAATCTGTTCCCAGCGTGCTTCAGACAAGTCACTGGCTATTTCAATAGCTTCCTCTAATCTAATTGTTTTGTGTGCTTGCATTTGCTTCCCTTACTCCACCCTTGCCTCCAAAAATTGCTTCTAAAGTGTTTTCCAGAAGTGATCTGTTTGCTCCAAAGGCTAAGTGTTGAGAGACTAACTGATAGATTGGTGATTCAAAACCAATTAGAGACTCCTCTGAAGGAAAGCCTGGTGATCTACTTCTGCATATTCATTGCCAGGGAAATCTGATGGAGCCATTCTTTTCAGTGCATCCTTTTCAGTGTAATCCACTTATGGCCGTCACTGGGGTTTTTCTTGAAATTTCAAGAACAAAAGAAGATGTCTTCTTTCTGTTTGGAAATGTGCTTAGCACAATCCCTCGTTAGATATGCTGTCAGTATTTGAGGAGCCCTGGTAATGGGGAGCTGACGTATTAGACTATTAACCAAAGACTTGGTAATTTGAATCCACCAGTGATTCTGCAGAAGAAAGATAGACAGTCCCATCATAACACAATTTATAGAGTCAGAAATCTAATAGAAGGGCACAAAGAGTCAGAACTGACTTCATTGCAGTTGGATTTGGTGGTGCAGTGGTCAAAGCACTTGGTTACTAATAGCAGAGGTTGGTAGTTTGAACCCATTCTGCCACTTGGAGAAAGATATGGCAATCTGCTACCGTGAAGACTTACAGCTTTGGACACACAGTAGGACAAGTCTCCTTCATCCTGCAGGGTCACTGAGTAAGAGGCCATTCAACAGTAAGTATAATTACTTGGTCAGTATTTATGTACTCCCGCTGTGCAGACCACTTTGGCTCCTCCCAGAAACTCTGGTGGCCAGGAGCTGAATGACATTGCGTGTGCACTTAGAACACCCTTGCTTTAGAAGCAAAGATAAAAATCTTTGTTTTCTAATAATCACTACCTATTATTTGTCAGCCACTGTTAAAAACACTCTATCAAGCTATTGATAAAGACGCTGAAATCATTCCAGCGTAAAAGCACGTTTAGAGCAACTGAACACCTTCCATCCCCCCTTAGGTGTTGCCCCCCCAATAGTTTCGGCTTGTTGCAGAGACTATCACATGACATAGAATGAAAAACTTAGTTGAACTCTGTAGATTATATCTATGACTTCCTCCTTATCTGACAAATGCATCCACTATATATGAATTATTTTGACAGGATTTCCTACCACAAGGCAATGTTTCTGCTACCCAGTATTTACTTGCTTTGTTACACTCTTAGAGGTTTTTGATCATCTGCTAATTATTTTCCTATAATCTTGGGAAAGACCTTGTTGTTGTTGTTGTTGTTGTTATGTGCCATCGAGTCGTTTGCGACTTATAGCGACCCTATGTACAACAGCCCTAAACCCTGCTTTATCCTGTGCCAATCGCATGGCCTCTGACACACCAATCCCGATTACCCCAGTCACTGAATCAATCCACCTCATAGAGGGTCTTCCCGTCCTGCACTGTCCCTCCACCCTCCCAAGCATGATGTCCCTCTCCAA